CTATGGAGTTTGTATCCGGAGGGTGATATAATCGAGTCGAAAATGTGATATAATCGATTTCCCATGGAAGTCTATGGAAACTCGATTATATCACACTCTCGATTATATCACCATTTTTGGACACGAATTAGGTGATATAATCGAGTTTGTACTGTACAAGGAACATACATACCGCCAAGCAGCCCCCCACCTGACGGTAGGTCTCCGGCACCTCGCTCGGCGGCTTGCAGGCAACAAACGAGGCGAGCGAATAAATAAGTCGAGTATTGTACCTAAGCCCGATAGAGCGGCGATTTGCTCCTGTGTTTCCCAGATCTGTTTCGTTTCATTCACACATCGGCTAACCCAATTAGCACACAATAGAACTATTCCGCTCCGCACCTTGAAGCAGCAATATATTCAGTCCGAGCAGATCTCTTGCTGGTACGACTGTTTTCGTGAGCTCATCCGGGGAGCTCGATTCGGACGCAAGACTGAAATGAGTAGGCAATGTAGGATGCTCATACCATACATAGTACGAGAATAATTCCATCTCCTCATTAGCGTTCCCTTCGATCCGAATTGACGTCGTTCTTTCACTGTAGGGATTCCAGGCGGAGTAGATTCCAAAGACTTGGCGAGAGCCGAGCCGTCCGTCGGCTCCTCAATAGCTCTGAACACGATGAGGATCTCTAATTGGAATGGTGAATCCGATGAAGTCGAACTCGTCTCATCCAATACCTCATTGTTTCAATGGAAACTCGTACCCACGAGTCGCCCGAGAAAGCCGGAGGAGACTCTGAATGCTCCATCCTTTCATTGATCCTCGACGCACTGCTTTGCGAAGGGTTCTCGCGGAAGGCTCTATTTTTAGCGGAGAGAAAATAAACCCGTGGTCTAGAGCGCGCTTCTTGGACCGAGCGCGACAGTGCCGTACGTTACGATCCTCTCCCGAATCGGAATCGCCGAGATACTGAACCGCGATCGTCATTCTGGGAATAGAAGGCAGCGGTGACCTTATGCACACAGCGACTCTTTGATTTGAATAGAGATGAATTGTCAGGGAGCCTAGCTTACCCTCGCAGTGGGGAAAACACTGTGTGGCGGTTCGATCTTTGCCGGAGGAACTCCCGCAACGAGGCAAAGATCGAGAAAGATATTGCGCGGCAGCAGGTGCATCGCACAGAAACTTGAGCCAGACGCAAGATACGCGGGTGAATTATGCAGTTCGTTTGTTGCTAGCCCGGTCCAAAAGGAAACAACAACAAGACACGGTACTCAGAGAGGGGCGTAAACTACGTATGCGAAGCGATAATTGTGAATAAGGCACAGAACCGTGGTCCTTCGGCGAGTGAACACATCGCAGCTCCACTACGCAAGTCGCACTCATGAACTAATAATTCACTCACTCAGAACTTCATTACTCGTCCGTTCGCCAAGCACCATGTCCGTTTCTTTCTGTGGCGACTCCTTACCCCGCCCCTCGGCTCCCTGATGACTCCCTTTTTTTCCCAACCCATCTCGTTCGCTCATGTATCGCACGCCTTCGTACAAACTCCCACGATACTTTCTTGATGTCGCATATGATCCGATATCCCCAATCTTCACGAGTCAGCTCGTTGCTCCCTCCATCGAAAGATTCGAATACAATATGTATAAGATTACATGATTGGGTTGGGTCAGCGGTGGCCGGACAAAGCGCGACGCTTCATCTTTTACGGGAACTTTCCCGAGATGGTGACCCTGGGCGTAAAGTCAGCCCTCCAGTAGCTTGCTTCATCAGTCGATCGCTCGCTCGCTAAGTCTACTTGCTATTGCTACTGCTGTTGTTGTCTGGGGGCGTCCTTGAGAAAGTTTTTGGTCGTCGGATCTGCTTGTAGTCGTAGTCTCCGAACGGAGTAGTTGTCAGAAGACGACATACTGCGTCGTCCTGACAGAGCGTTCGTACATCACGACCATGGTTCTGGCACGGTCGCATGACTCACAGACCAAGGGTCTCGGGCCTGCCCGATCCGATATCTGAGAGATATTCGGGGAAATAATTCCTCGGAGCTCGAACTGATCCTCTCAATTACTCCTTATCCGCCCAGGTGCAGGACTACCTTCGGAAATGGTCGATCTGGAATTTCTCGGGGGAAAACAGAACTGGTGAACGATATTCTTGTTTTAAATCTAGGGGTCGAGGGCTATCGCTCGAGCTTGAATGAAAGACTGACCTTCCGATGAATTCGACGCAGACAGCTCCTAACGGATTGCGTTGCGCCGGAATTCGCGGTTCGGAGACGAATGCTCGACCGCTGTGTCGGAAGTGAGTCTGGAGCGTGAAGGGAGACAAGCGATTGCATCCGACTCATTTCTGAGCGTCTCAGACGACGTTCATCGATCACCAAGTCGTACAGCGAGTTTCGTAGATAGTCAATGCCGATTCGAAGACTAGAAAAAAGTCATCTTTCACGGAGATCGTTCGCACATGACTGCAGCGAGCTGCGCTTCCCCGATATATTTTTTTCGAGCGTTTCCCTCCGCTAGACTTCATCCACAAAATGCACGGCACCTATGACCGCGATCCTGTCCTGGAGTCGCAGGGGCGTCGCTCGTGCCCACGGGACACGATTCAGCTTCATGGTCGAAGGCTGGGCCAGATCTGCTTGGAATCGCTACTTCGACCGGATTGGAAAGATGTCATCCATTTTTCTCCGCAGCAGGGTGAGGACGAAGCGAGTCTCAATCCTCTGCGCGCCGCAATGATCAATGAACTGCGCTGCCGCATGACCGTCTACCCATGTTCCTCGGTCCTGAACGAGTACTCCCAAAGCTTCTGCCTCCCCATGCGGAGAGAATCATGAGGACTCAATCGTGAATCGAAACGCTGCTTTCTTTTACGAATTATTATAATTTCGAGTTATTTTTCAATATTTGAGCGGGGGTCCGGCTGAAAAGATCGCGATCGATGATGCTTGACTCGGGAGAAGCTCGACCCTCGTTAAAGTGATCGAAAGCTCTCTACCGCAGATTTGGACGAAGGTCGCGCGCTCACGGAGGTTGCGGAAACGAGCGGGCGGAACCTCCTCCGCATTTTCAGGAGGACCTGGCCGGCCACATCCTTGCGTGACCGGCTCCGGGAAACTCCTCCGCAAGCCCTTAACTGAGTCCGTGCAGACCGACCGACCAGATAATCGAATTTCGAGCATAAAACCGGAAAACTCAAGAAGTATTTCCCTCATGTGATATTTCGCGCATGTGTTTGTACAAAGCGATTCCTTGTGTCTTAATCGAGCAGAGCGCGCTGTCAAACAGTTGTGCGACCGCTCACCGACCCACCCAGGCATTGAGCTCCCGCTGGATTGCAACGCTAAGAGATTGCTCCGCTCCCGCCACTCATTCGCCGTTTTCCCTCCTCTCTGTCTTCACCGCTGGCGCTCGTTATGTCTTCGAACGATTTCTGCTCTCGCTAAGAGACTCCTGCGAGGGAGCACTAGCTCTCCGAGCGTCTCCGAGACTCCCTCCCGCAGGCCGATTCACAGCCTTCATTCGATTCTGATGCTCAATCAGTGGAAAGCTCTCCCCGTCTCTGGTCTAAACAGAGACCGAGGCTTCTCGGCCGCTCGTGGAGCCTAAGGATCGATATTTTGGATGCTCAAATTATATTTATTAGGATTCGTTTTCAGGCATCTCGAGGCGCCTCACCCTGCGTCTGACCGTTGGCTCCAGCGCGAAAAACGCGCGAGACTTCCTGAGCTATCACGAGCATTCGTCGCAGTATACAGACGACCGCGAATCCTGTGCGCGGAAAATTCCTGTCCCTCGCTACTGAAGAACCGTCCCATGCTTGTCCTCGATTGTCCTCGAAGTTCCCAGACTATAAATTATATTTATTTAGGCGCGACATCTAGGAGCATGGGGAATCGAACCAGACCGATGTCAACGCGCTCTAAGGTTCCGGAGAATCACTTATAGGATCAATGAGAATTCACTGGTCCTTCCCGGTAATTCCTGGTCTAATCCCAGAACGAGCGACATTCCATTTACGCGCCAACAATTCACCCGTCCCTAGGTGGTGGAAGACTCGAAAGGAGGTGGTGAGGGTCGGCCAGGAGAGTACGAGAGGAGAGCGCCTTGTGGAGAGAGCTCTCCAGGAGAAGGGATTCTCCGAACGGGACGTCGCTGCGGAAGATGGGGACCGATCACTCGTGCGGTGGGTGCAGACGTGTTCGTCGGCGCTGATATTCAGTTCCAGCAGGAGGGATTCCGAGTGTACTTGTGATATTGATTTGATGATAAATAGCTCAACTCAAGGATACGTGCTTTCTCGAAGGATTGCCGCCCTAGTCGTGAGGTGAGTTCTTCCGGCTTCCCTCCGCTGACACCGCGTGACGACTCGGTGTACGAGGCGTGTTCCGAGGAAAAGACGCAGGAGCCCGATCCTGACAACCCGTGAAACGGAAATAACTTATGCCATCGCACCCAATCCGAGTAGCTCCTATGATATATTTGTTTGTCGAAGGAGCGTTGCCGGATAAGTGATGGGGGGAAACGATCGGCATAGCGACAGATGCTGGCGGTGTTTTCTGCGGAACGATTATTATGGTCGTCGTTCGAGTAATGCGCTCACAGCATCGTTGCCGTTTCCATAGGCTTTCGACACGACACGAGGAAAAGCTCCTCCGAGCGTCGTCGGACGGGAATTCGGAAACGTTGGACTCGGATTCCCTGTGCTCCTCCGTGCTTGCATCGCCGGCTTCTATTGATCATGGGAGAATCTGGACCATGCGACACGAATGGTTGAGAACATCCAATAATCATTCAAAAAGTCATTAGGTTGAATTTGAACTCCCGAATGCGTCTCGTTGACTTCGTAGAAAAGTATCGATTCGGGAGACCGCCGCATTCCCGCTCCAGAGAATGACCCGATACCGACGAGAGCTCCGAAGACTCGGATTTGTAGCTTACATGCGCTATCTGTAGCCTCCCTCTGAATTCAGTGGAACGGATCTGATCTGAGCTCAAACTCTCCATTCTCACAGAGGTACATTCATCCATTCATGTTTGTACGACAACGTACTGGTGCCGCATGGAAGACGCGCGCCTGAGCCTCGAGAACAGGAATTCCATGGCACAGGAATTTCGGTCTCGATGACTACCCGCTTGTTCGAGCTTGAAGGAACTGGTCCGGAAATTTCGGGAGGACCCTCGTCCGCGGGACAACGACTCGATGGGAGCAAGTTCCTAGGGAATATTCTTGAAAGCGGAGCGTTCGCTGAGAAATGGTGCCGGAACTCGATCGAGGATATCTTCGACTCGAACGCTGCGTCAATATTTGATCCTCCGACAGCGACTTCAAGCCTACGAGTAATTGTGGTGAACTGGAGCAGCTTCGAGAGAGTTTCCAGACCCCTCGGGGGGTACGCTGATGAGAATTTCGGAATTACGACTGAGGAAATTTCATCGTTGGATCGTCAGTGAGGCTCCCGCCATAGCTCCCCCTTCCTCCGAGAGCCCCCTGGAATCGCCGCTCGAAAGGGATTCCCCATGTTTTCATGCATACGAGAAGCCTTGAGATGACTTGACAGTGATTCGAGGCGCTCACGACTTGCAACGGGAACTCAAGCGGATAGGAGTTCGGAAGACCTGATTCTTCGCACTCCGCATTCGGCATCTCCCAGATCTCCTATGCGACCGCCTTAGAGGGGCGATGGGCTCAGATGAACCCCATAGAGCTCCTGGGTACGGACCAGACGACTCAGCTACGAGGAGGGTCGTACATCTTGGACGGAGCTGTCGAACCCCGCGTAAAGTTCCCTGGCTGGCTTAAGGGAATGAGTCTGGAGGAAAAGAGCGCGGGAGTCTTCGAGGAACGGAAACTTGAAGAAGAGGAAGCCGAACAACCTCGACAAGTTGGACGACGTCACAAGTTTCTCATGACCGCTGAGGGGCGAAATTCCGTTCAGTAAGGACCAGGTTGACTCTGATACCCTCATGGTGTCATTTCCGAGATGAGCAAGCGACGACGTGTCTAGTTTTCGGAATCCTGCGGCTTCGTGACTTCTTGATGCAATGCGTTCACCTCATTGACGCTGACTCTCACGACGAGTAATTGATTCGAATGAGGCAGCCAGCTGGGATGTTTTGTTTGGATTGAAAAATTGAACAGATACGATCTTGCTTTCCAAGGAAAATGAGAGACGGCTCGCCAGGTGCTCATCTCCTCCAGGCGGACTTCAGAGGCCGTTCTTCGGGTCACCGAAGATGGAGCTCCTGACCAGAAGTCCGGGTCCAAGATTCGAATTGTCTCTTCAGGTGGGATTTGAGGGAGCCGAAAAGAGATATTCGCTGACCTCAGCTCGGTTCCGGGGGTTCCCCGACCAACACCCTCAAATCCTGAGAAAACTTGCGAGCGGCTGATACCCATCCTCCACTCTACACAATGCGACAATGCAGGGAGTCATAGGGATGAGGAATAACCTCGCATACCTTGTGACGGAGCCCGGACAGCAATCCATCGAATTTCGGAAGAGCCAAAGTGGTGTGAACGAATGTGCATCGGGTGGTTTATTGTCCCGTGTTCATCTCCGGTCGTTCAGCGACGACGGCGGAGCCATCACCAGAGGCCCATTTCCGAAGACGTATCTACCCTCGAAAGGAGCTGCGATCGATTATTATCATGGGAGCCTCTCCCGCAAATCGATGAACTTATCGGCACATCACTTATACATCAAGATGCTACCTGAGCAGAGCTCTCGGGACGGACATGTGGACCTCGGCGGTGATTCTGGGGAGGAAATCGCTGATTAATGGAAAAAAATCATAGCGTCCGAGTGACCTGGCTCTATAGCTCAGAACGAGATGATGGCTCGATCGCGGAATCGAGGAGAAAGATAGGCTGACCGAACTAGGATCTGATCAACGGCGCTCCCGATTAAGGGAAAACCACCAAGCCGCAGAATAAATAGTTCTACTTCCCCGCGCTCCATGAACAGTGTAGGATATTCTATCCATAATTTCGTGTCTTATCACTTATTCACTACCATATGTACCTACCTAGTTCCATTCATGCCGTGATCGCCCAGTCAT